CATAGGCTCATTGGATGTGAGCAAACTCTTGGTGTATATGAAGCGCAAGAATATAAGTTACGTACCAGCCTAGTTTGTCAATTGATGAATTTTCCGTGCTTGATTAAGATAAAAATTAGATTTTTAGTAAAATTTGATAAAAATTAATGAAATGTGTGATTTAAAAGTTATGAATCCTAAAAAAAGTGGTTAAGTTAAGAATTTGACTTAATTTTAATCTAAAATTTTTAGTGAAACCAAACATGGACTTAAGGGTCACTCTTCCTTTATTTCTTCGCATCACAATCACGAGTGACATGACGGACCATACGCGGTAAGGGAGATTAATTAATCACATTAATCTTCAATCATGCCCGATACGCGGTTCCAAAAATCAAGAAACTTCCACAAACGTGGCAATATGGCACAATCCTATTGGCTAACACAAAAATCTGTGGACACGTGGCCAAATAATTTGACCTTTCTATTTCAGAAAAAGGCCCTGATTTTAACCCAATCACAGGAACCTTACAAGCGTTGCAACGTGTCAACAATATCCCAATATAGCTTTATTTATAAGTAACCTCAACCTTGACCTCTTCTATGGAACCAAATTTCTTGCTTCTCTACGATACCCTTCTTCCAAAGATCCATTAAAATTTAGATTTTATTTCAGATTTGGTAAGCCAAGATTAAGGTTTAATCGCGTAAATAAGATGGGACTCTCGAATTTTCCTAGCCCAGCTGAAGGCGTGATACCTTTACTTGTAATGAATACGGTTATGTCTGTGGCTTTAGTAAAGAATTTGCTAAGAACTTTGCTGCAAGTGGTGGGTGCTAATGGCGGCGGCGGGGCGGAGCAAGTTTTGGACGAAGAAGCTTCAAGAACTAGAAGGATGTCGATAACCCGGTATGATTCTCTATGCAGAGACAGAGGTGGTGGTAGAAGGCGGCCCTGCCGTGATGATGGTGGTTGCGCCAACAGTGGAAGTGGCGGAAATATGTGGCCTGCAATCGAGTGTTGTGTGTGTCTATGTAGATTTGAAGGAGATGAAGAAGTGAGTGAGCTTTCTTGCAAGCATTTCTTCCATAAGCGGTGTTTGGAGAAGTGGTTTGATAATCAACACACAACTTGTCCTCTTTGTAGATCCACAATGTAAGTAAGAAGAATTTGTGTGGACAGAATTGTTTAGATTTGCTGGTTTGTGTTAATAGAGTAGTTTAGGTTTGTTCGCAGATTTGGTACTGAACTGGACTTGACTTTAGTGGATAAAATGATTTGTACTTTTATTTATATATGGTTTTTCATTACGTTGGAGTCTTGTCGAGGTCGTGAGACCGAACATGTTTGTAGTTCGTAATGAGTTGAACTCGAAAGTGTAGAAGTAGATTATGCAAAAGGTCTGGCGAGATTGCCTTTTGAATTCATTCATCTAGTTTGTTTGACTTGCTTAAGCTATGTCAGTCGAAACTCCACTATAGAAATCCACTTGCTCTGAGGACTCTTCTAAAGAAAAATTGAACGAAAATTCGAGTACTTGATTATAAGTATTATGTACCATAGAGTATATGATAATTATTCATTAACTTTTATAATATATAGTGTTTGCCGTTGAAGCAACACCAGTGTACAGAGTTCCAAAGTGTTATTTAAAGATGAGTGCAGAAATTCTGCTACATATTCCATAAACGTAACAGCCTTTTAATCATCAATTCCCTTGGATATCGAGTACTGCCCGGACTTCTGCTCAGTGTGGTAGTAGCGGGGATTGCAATCGTCACTGTAATGCTTCACCGGTTCATTCCGCGCCACAGGCGGCGTATGTGGCGCCCCATGATGATGACCACCATTTGCGCCACCACCGCCACCCATCTTTAAGTGATGCATATCATTCGAGTTCCCATACTTAGAACCTCCATCGTGCATATTCCCCCCATGGCTAGGCTTGTTCATTTTCCAGTTGTAATGGAGGTGCTTCTGCTATTTGTCACTAGAGCGGCCGCCCCCTTGGCTAGGCTTGTCCATTTTCCAGCTGTCATGGTGGTGCTGCTCTTTGTCACTAGACCCGCCGCCCCCATGGCTGGGGTTGTTCATTTTCCAGCTGTCATGGCGGTGATCTTTGTCAAAGCCGCCATGATCTTTGGACGTCTATTAATGCTTCAGAAAGAATCCCAGAAATCCTTTTTGGTTGTCAGACACTTCATTTATGGAATCAATTTCCTGTTAACGGATAGAGGCTGCTTTTCAACGATTCTAAGGGTGTGAGGGGACGTATGCAAGGGTTTGCATTGAACAGTATAAATTTTTAGATGAAGTGATGCAAAAAGGGCATCAAGTAATATTAAACCTGAGTTAACTATCATGGAAATTGATTTTCTGTCACTTGGAGTAGAGATGATGTTGATCTGTATATTAGAATGAAGAACTCCTAAATTTAATTATATCTGAAAACAATATTATACCTCACGGGTTTAAGGAAATCTTTTGAGTGAATTATAAATCAAGGTTAAGTGAAATCATAAGTAAAAAGTGCAATCTCTAAGCATTCGAGAGGTAGGAAGGCTTTGTTGGTGTTCTTCTTTTTCCAATATCTTAACGAAATTTATTTTAAGTAGCATTCGAAATATTAATGGGTAAACTCAAAAAATAAATTACGACAAATTTAGTTACAGTATTTCTTTCTTAATAATATCGTGATAAACATGTCGTAAACGCCCTATGAGTTGAAGTTGCAAAGTTAACATGTTGAGCATAACAAAACATCATAAATAATCACAGCCATATGAGAGATATAGAATTTGCATTCACTACTATTGAGCTTAACGTACCCAGTATTCACTCAATGTTTCAAGTGGTCAATAAGTTACATCAAGACTCACTAAGCATGCAGCAATTCTAATAAGTAACCAATTCTGTGTACTTTTTATGCTCTAAGATGTAGGAAAACAAATAAGCCTAAGGGCTAATTGTTGTGATTCGATGTTCAACTTATAATGATGAGTAGGCCCTGTTTGGCACCCATTTTTATCAAAATGCATTTTTCTCTCTCTTCATTTCAACCACACATTCCTTATTAAAATAATATTACACGTAAATCAAAAACTTTTTCTTATTTTTCAACCATACATTTCCCATCAATTTACTATTCAAAAATGCATTTTCACATAAAAATTCCTACCAAACACCTACATATTAATCATTTTGGGGGTTCTTCAAATTCTAAGGAGAAAAAATAAGTGTTTAGTGTTTTTCTTCTTTTAAGGCTTGTTAAATTCTACAAAACATTTGTCACGAGTCCTTTTAGGCATTAAAAACAATCCAAGAGGGGGCAAATTTAGTGCAGCTGGAAAACCCAAATAAAATGTTCGGCTAAGAGAGAGAATTGGACACTAGTTAAAATAATAAATGCTATGTTATTAAAAATGTTAAGTTGCCAACTAACTTAATTATAGGGTGAAGCCTTATTAAGTGCAGGTCACATAATAGGATTCCTTCTAAAAGATTTAAGGTTTCTCCATATGAATTATAAAATGGAGAAAATCGAACATTAGTTATTTTAAAATATGGCGATGTTTTGCTTATAGTAAGAACACGGATACTAAAAGGACTAAGTTAGTCCTAGAGGGATTGAATGCACCTTTGTAGAATATGCCCAAAACAGTAAGGAATATTGTTTATTAAACTTAGAAATCAATATAATGATTGAGTTTTGAGTAGAGTTCTTTGAGAATTTATTATCTTCGGATACTAATCATTTAAGGGAACCTCAAGTGGAGATTCCTAGTTCTGTAAGATCACAAGTATAAATACCTTTTGAGTATGTTTAAACAAGTGAATTTCACAGAAGTAAAAGAGCTCGAAAGGAGAAGGTGTTAGGACCGAATAAATTAGACTCTCAACTTATTTATTCTATTTAGTTGAAGGAAATGTGAAGAGTGTCACAAGAATTACTTATATGTTTTCCAAGTAGAAATTGATCCTAAAACTTATTAAGAAGATAAGTTATCTAGAGATAGCACCTTTTGGAAGGATGCTGTAAATGGTGAAATTGATTCAATAATGCCATATAACACCTCGGAATTAGTCGATTTATCACCTAGATCAAGACCTATAGGTTGCAAGTGGGTATTTAGGAGGAAGTACAATGCGAATGGTACTCTTAATACCTTTAAAGCTAGGTTAGTGACCAAAGGGTATCGACAAAAGGAAGGAATAGATTACTTTGACACCTACGCAACAGTTGCATGAATAACATCAATTAGGATTATATTCGCTTTAGTTTCAGTCTGCGATTTACATATATATCAAATGAATATTAAAATGACATTTGTAAATGGAGATCTCGATGAGAAAGTTTATACAGAACAATTGGAAGGAATTGTTCTACTCGAAAATGAAAAAAAAGTATGTAAGTTAATAAAATCTTTATATAGATTAAAACAAGCACCAAAGAAATAGCACGAAAAAGTTTGACTAAGCAATAATGTCTTTCGAATTTAAATATTATAGTGTTAATAAATGTTTATATTCAAGTCTTTGATAATTATCGTGGATGACATGTTGATTGTGAACAATTAAATGCAAGGTATAAGATAAACAAATAGGTTTCTATCTTCCATATTCAAAATGAAAGATCTTGGTTACTTGGATACCATACTAGGTATCAAAGTCATCAGACTAGTAGGGGTAATATATTGAGCCAATCACATTATGTTGTGAATGTGATTAATAAGTTCAAACACTTAAATATTAAAGGGGCTGTTCGTGAAATATTTTCTTTCGTTTTATACTCGCAAGTGTATGGTTCGCAACAAGTAATAAAGTGAATTCTAGAATCCAACTATCGTCCCACCGAGATTGAGTAGCCTAATTTTATTTATCTTGACCTTAACCAAAACAAGATTGTCTAAAGTGATTTTTAACTTATCGTCTCACTGAGATTGAGTAGCCTAATTTTATTTATCTTGACCTTAACCGAAACAAGATTGTCTAAAGTGATTTTTTAACTTAATTATACCCTGACCTAAACTAGGTATGCAAATGTGTATGACTTGAGTGAATTAAAATGCAAATGACGCTTAGATGAACGAAAAATGCAAATTGAATGTTTGTAATGCAAATTGATGAATTCAATGAATGTATAATACACTAGGATCACGAATTTTCAAGTAATGCTCAATTCAACCCTAGTTCTATAATTTGACAACACGTTGAAATTATAAAGAATCAATGTTTCTAAATCTATCCAACAGTCTCTCGAGCAAAGTGAAATCTACTCTCATATACCACCAGCCTATATCTCTATGATGACAGGTGCAAATATACAAGAATGCATGTAATTTTGTAAGCACTTAAAGATTCACGTAGAGTATAACAGTATATCTCTATCTCCTATCGAACTCTATGATAATTTATACCTTGTCAAACCTATTCCACTTCTCTCAAATGCAAGAAATAGATCACCATACTCACACAATTACGGGCCCAATAATTATGGTAGAAATTAAATGTGTACAAACCATTCAAAATGTTCAATACGTATTTTAATGTAAAAAATATATAACAAGGAATTAAAAATCATATTACAAGGTTCATCCATATCCTAGTACAAGAATTTCTCCCCTTCATATGATGGCTCTAGGAGTTTTATATGCGTCTCCCGATTCAACTCCATAAGAATTTGAAATAGAAAAGGAAACAGAAAATCTTAGGCCGTGGTTGGTTTGCCGTTTTCGGCTCATTTTTCGTTTTCCGTTTTTAAAAATGTGAAAAACGTGTTTGGTCCGTCATTTTCGAAGATGGATTTTCGAAAATGAGTTAAAATTTATAACTGAAAATACAAAATGAATTTTTATCGTTTTCAGCGTTTTTAGTTATAAATGTCGAAAACGCCCAAAACGGGCCGTTTTCTGGGAAAACTATAAATCATTTTGAAAATAAAAATGGAAAATGAAAATAAAAACCAACTGCACCCTTACCCTCCGAAACAACCATGCGACCGCATGGTTCAAGCCAGTTGCTCTACTGGATCTCTAAATACCACCATGCGGCTGCATGGTTATAGAACTCTTTTTGTATGTTGCGTTTTGGTCCCTGAACTTGAACTTCTTGCATTTTGATATCTTTTCTTATTATTCTTTTCTCAGTACTTCCGAACTTCAAATTGATTCACTTGTATCTAAAATGAAAGATCAAACCTAGTTTTATATATTGTTCTTCAAATTTCCTTTTTTCAAGTTTGTTTTGCTTGATTCAACCTTGGATTAAGGTTTGATTACTCCTACAAACTATTTGTATTTTAAAACCTTTGCGCACGTATCC